CCCTTGCAAAAAGTAGTTACCGATGCTGATGGGGAAGACAATGGCATCAGCGTAGGTACTAGCACTGGAGTTAGAGCCACACTTCGGCCCTCACAAACCATCTGCTGACCTGATCAGAACCAACCTACACTATCTAGAGCCCTAGTTATGCTTGATAATAATCAAAGCAACAATAGTGATAATAGTAACGGAACGTACAATGATAATTATGACCACATTGGTGGTGGAGCAAACCCCCTACTTCAAAATCCTCATGTTGACCTTAGGGGCATTCTTCCAGAAACTATACCCCCGGAACTTTCGGCACAGCAAATGTTGTACCATTTTAATAGGCTAATTAAAGGGTAATAGTGGTAGAAACCACCAAAGAGAAACTTAATTGGTTAAAATTCCTACTTTTAAGGGAGGAGAACAAGACCCTCTCTGTTGGGTAGAAGAATATGAGGATGCTTGCCAAGCCAACAATATCAATGAAAAAAGAATGATTACTATTTTATCCGCATACCTGAAAAGACCCGCCAATAGCTAGTGGAAGAAGGTAGCTGAGCAGGTTCAGTACTGAAAGAGCCATAGACCCAATCATTCTTTTGTTCACCTCTTCCAAAAACAATTCTGTACCTGACACCAAAAATCCTGTTGGATAGCTGACTTAAGAAGCCAAGTACAGCAGCCCGGAGAAACTGTGGAAGAGTATTACGCTGACCTTGACCATCTTTACCAAAAGGCCGACCTGGAAGAAAGGTACCCTCTCACCGATAAACTACGCCAGTTTATAGATGGCTTATGGGAGGAACTGAGGGAGCCAGTAGAAATAGCCTGCCCAACTACACTAGATCAGGCTCTTACTAAGGCCAAGGCAGCCGAAGCTGCATTTTCCTGAGGGTCTCCACTAAGCTTATACTCATTGAGGAGGAGATACCTAAATAGGGATAGTGAGGTCGAAAATTTGGAATTATCAAAATTGAGAAGAGAAATTGTGGAGTTAGCCGAAGCTATAAAAAAATCCTATCTAGGCAGTATACCTACTATGCCAACTCAATCTGCATACAACACTACACCCCTCGTTGGTATGTCAGTTGTGTAATGGTAGAGGACATATAGCTAGGAATTGTCTCTCTAACTGACTACATAATGGCGGTTACCGGGGTTCAAACAGGCAAAGGAGAAATGGGCCCCCATTCTCATATCGAAATAGCGGCCTATCTAGGAACAACCAAAATCAACCAACCTACTATAACTATAACAATAACCACTACAATCGCGGTAACCATAATGGTGGCAACCCTAATTATAGCAACAACTATCCCAATAGTAGTAATACCAACCCTAGTAACAGCAATAGCAATCAGGGCAACGGCAACTCTAATGGCAATGACGAGAGAAATCGTAATAACAATAAGGAACAAACAAATAATAACAACAACACTTCTACTTACTTTACTTTTACCAGAGATGACCTTCAAGACTTTATTCGAACAACAGCCCAATCTTTAAACTAACAAAGGCACGCCGTGAGGGCGGTAGTGCCTTTCCTCCAATAAACCCTGTTAAGTTAGATAATGATAACAGTAATAGGAACAATTTTAACAACACTAATTCCAACTTATTTAACCCCTATACTAGTCCCAACTCATTGAATAATCCACCCTCACCTATCCCTAGACAAACAATTGAACAATTAAACCCCAAATCCCTGAATTAAAAAAGTCAAAACCAGAACCCTCACTAGTAAAAGACGATGATGATAATGACGTACCCGTATTAATATCAATAGTCGAAAACAGATAGCATGAAGTGGTAGACATTGTATATTGTAATGCCAAAGTAGACGACATATCCTTTTACCTTATTTTAGATTCAGGATTAATCTGAAGCATGATATCAAAAGCATTTGCAGATAAAGTGAAGCGAGAAATCGAAAACCCCTCTAGCTGTAGTATAGTGGATATAAATAGTGGCAAGAAACGGTCGTTGGGGCAGATAAAGCAAATCCTGATACAATTAGTAAATGAAACGATAATTCCGGTAAATATTGAAGTAAACAACACCCAAGGATACGCCATAATAGCTGGTGTGGAATGGATTAACAAATGAAAGGCATTATAAACTTAAAAACTAAAGAATTTAAATATGAATAGGATAATAACCCATATACCATACCTATTACCTGCTGGGAAAAGCCTCAATACCAAGACAGCAACCCCATAATTATTAAATCAAAATATAATCAAAAAAAAAAACTAAGAGAATTATCTAGTGAAGAGGAGTATAAAGAAGAGTTAGAATGAGAAGAAATAAAGTGATTTGCTGTATTAAGGGATATAAAGGAAACCCCAATTTTAGAAATAGGGGGAGATCAATTTTCATATGGAAAAATAACAATAGAAGGATACGACCCAAACATAGATAAGACATTAGATCCAAAGACTACAAAGTGTTAGTGTGCAAGGATGCTGAAAGAATGTGTGAAATATTTAGAAATAAGGAATATTATTAGGCATTTTGCGAAGAAGACAGACATAGAAAAAATCAAACCCCTATCTACCAGCTTAACAACCGAGGAACAACAACAGTTGAACGGCTTTCTGGAAGAAAATAAGTCCCTCTTCTCACAAGGACTACATGACTTAGGACATACTACAGTGGATCAGCACCAAATTATCACCGAAAATGTCTCCCCATCCATCAAAAGGCCTACCAGATGTTCCCTGCCGAACATGAATTTATTTAGCAGGAATTACAGATAATGTTCCAACATGGATTAATTGCACCCTCCAAAAGCCCATAGTCGTCCCCAGTTGTGCTAGTCAAGAAAAAAAATGGAAAGATGAGGTTATGCATAGACTATAGAAAGCTAAACAAAATCATGAAATGGGACGTGTATCTCTTACCTAGGATAGATGAAATTCTCAATGCCATAAAAGGAGCTAAATGGTTTTTCACGCTGGATATGGCCAGTGGATACTGGCAAATAAATGTCAGGCCTGAGGACCAGGAAAAGATGGCCTTCATCACCAAATTCAGACTCTTTGAATTTAATATGATGCCCTTTGGGCTCACTAATGCCCCAGCAACCTTCCAAAGGGTGATAGATCGTTTATTTGCTAATGTGAAGGAAAAATTTATATTAGTGTATCTAGATGACATAACAATATTTTCCTCCACTTTTGTACAACACTTACAACACCTAAAAGAAGTATTCCAATGGTTAGCTAAGGCCAGGTTAAAGTTAGGGAAGGATAAATGCCAATTCACTCAAAAAGAATTAGCATTCCTAGACTATGTAATAGGAAAAAAGGGTGTAACACCCGACCTCTCAAAAATTACTAAAGTACAAAACTTTCCTATCCCCAGAAATCTCACTGAAATCCATGGCTTTATAGGGCTAGCGTCATATTATCGATGCTTCATCATTAATTTCGCCAGAATTATTGAACCTCTAAATAGGCTTCTTAAAAAGAATACACCTTTTATTTAAACCGAGGCGTGTTAACAAGCAATGAACCTGCTTAAGAAAAAACTGACAATGGCACCCATTCTTCAATACCCGGATTTCTAGCAACCCTTCATCCTTTACACTGACGCTTCATATCAAGGACTAGGAGCCATCTTGGCTCAAAAGGATACAAATAGCTATGAACATGTTATAGCCTATGCTAGTAGAACCTTAGGCCTTGCTAAAATTAATTACTCACCCACGGAAATAGAATGTTTAGCTACTGTTTGGGGAATGGAGTATTTCAGACCCTACATATATCTTTGCCCCTTCGAGTTAGTCACAGATTATTTAGCCCTTCAATGGTTACTCAACCAACCCAACCCGAATAAAAGGATATATCATTGGATTGCCCGGATAGCTAACTATCCTTATAAGGTTGAACACCAGAAAGGCCATGTTCACTCCAACATCAACGCTTTATCAAGAATCCTTTTCGAACCACTATAAGAGAAAGAAAATAAAACTATAAATACAAGTTTATACATATATAGTAAAAAAATAAAAAAAATAAAAAAAAATTTTCTTTTATACTAAACTTTGGCAAATCTTAATATTGAGCTTTGGACATCTCTAACAACAAATAGTACCTTTGAATTAGTAAAAAATAAAAAAAATAAAAAAAAAAAATAAATAAATAAAATAATAAAATAAATAAAATAAAAAAATAAAAATAAAAAAAAATAATAATATATATGGACCCCAAACAGTACTCAGATATTTTAGTATACCTAACAACACTTTTAGTACCTCTATATTTAACTACAACTCAACAGAAACAGTTCAAACAAAGAGCAACTTAATTCATACAAATAGATCAACAATTGTATAAGAAGAATAACAAAAAGGATACACAATTAGCTCCACTTAAAGTAGTCCAGACTCATGAAGTAGAAACTATTCTACATAATCTCTACGCAGATGTTCTTGCCGGACACTTTGGAATAGCAGGAACCTACAACAAGGCCAGAGGTCAGTTTTATTGGCCCGGAATGCACAAAAGTATTGCAGAATATATCCAAACATGTAATACATACCAAAAACAGGAGCATACAAGGAAAAATAAATTATTACATCCCATACCTGTTGGTGCTCCATTCGACTGTGTTGGGATAAACATAGTAGGACCTCTAAAAATCACCCCAAAAGGTAACCGATATATCATCGTAGTCACTAAATACCTCACCAAATGGCCAGAAGCAAGGGCTATCCCAAATATGAAGGCTACAACAATTACACAATTTATATATGGGAACCTCTACAGCAAAAAGAGGCAGTGGGCAAAAAATTTTGATTTTGTAATTTTATAAAAATTGTATTTTTAATACTTTAATTCTTCAAGAAATTGAGTTTAAAAAATTTTTTTTTTTTTTGTCCACTGCCTCCTTTTGCTGTGGGAGTCTCATATGAAGAAATCCTTACCCATCATGGTTGTCTAACAGAACTTTTATCTGACCAAGGCACCCCTTTTTGCAATAAAGTAGTTAACACTCTATGTCAATTAATGGGCGTAAGGCATAGATTAGCTTTAGCCTACCACTCCCAGACCAACAAGCTCACAGAGCAGTTCAATAAAACGCTCTGTAACACTTTTGCTAAATACACTTGTGTCTACAAAGAGTCCTGGGATACCTTTATACATGCCGCTCTATTCGCTTACCACACGGTACCCCAGGCTACCACAAAATACACACCTTTCCAGTTGTTGTATGGACGGGAAGCTGTATTGCCTATAGACCTGCAAAAAGGCAAACAAAAGGGCGACCTAGACCACCCATACGACTTACAAGTACAAAGTCATATTGATTATATAACGGAAAGGTTACAGCAAGTACAAATCAAGGCTAAAGAGAATATTAAACTAGCCCAGAAGAAACAAAAAGAAAGATATGACCAGAAAGTAAAGGATACACAGTTCTATATAGGAGATAAGGTATTATTATACAGATCTGCAGAGGCTAAGGTACATGGGGATAAGTTCTGAGAAAAATGGAAAGGCCCCTACTACATACACGACCTAATTGCACCAGGTGCATACAAGCTTTGTATTACTGACACTGACAAAGTCCTAGAGAAGGCAGTTAATGCAAATCAACTTAAACCCTATTTTAAACGACCACTATGGGAGCCGATTATAATGGTGTAAAAGAGAAGAAAGAAAATACTAATGAACGAAAGGCTGTTACGAAATATAAGAAAAGAAGGAAAGTAGTGATCCAAAGGTTAAAAAAAAAAAAAAAAAAAAAAGATCAATTGAAAATCAAGAACACAGCCACTATCATTAAAAGAATGACCTGCTTTCATGTAACCAGGCAACAATTGGCTTGTAACCACCTTGTCGAAAATGTTATTGATTACTACTTACTGGAAGAACAGACCCCTTTAAGGTTTTTACCACCTTATACCACAAACAATCCATAGAAAACGGCCCTAGGAAAGGTGGTCCAGGAATGTCAAGCGGTCATGAAAGATAAATACCACATCCGACTATTAGCAAATTCGTACCATCTCGGTGAATTACTAAGAATCAAAAATAACTATGCCAGGTGGTTGGAATATGTAGAAGATAACGGCATTAAGTGTGAATGGCAATTATACAGAGAAGCCAAAAGAGTTCTGGAGGTATTCGGAGGAAACCCAGAACAGATATACCGAACTCGGAAGATATCCTTACACTTCTTAGACGGTCTTACCAATGAAGACTATAATAACAAATTCCTACCATATACCCAAACCAGTTTAGAGTTCATTACCTGGAATATGAGGAACTCATTTAATGCTTTGGAGGACCTCATTTTTTTAGGAGGGAAATGTGACAAAATTAAATATTTTCGTAAAATAGTAAAAACAATTGTATATTACTTTCTTTCTTATTTAATTATTACTCTAGTTATTTAAGTTACTCTTTTATTTATTTATTTATTTAGTCTTATCAATTTTTCTTAGTTACATTATTTCTTTTATTATTTATTATTATCTCTTTCTTATTTTCTGTATTTATTTCTTTTTTTTTCTTTATTTATTTTCTTTATTTTGTTTTAGTCTTTAGTTAGCTAGTTAGTTAGTATTCCATACATATGTAGTTCTATAGCTATATGTATATAGTTATATAGTTAGATAGATAGTTGTAGGATAGTTATACAGATAGAATATGGGTTGACGTTACATTCATGGTCACGGGATCATTACATGATCGTGCACCATGATAACCCAGGACGCATAACTGTTCATATGCCCTCTGCAACCCATAAAACCCAACTATCTATGCAGACTAAACGACCTAGCCAATCCATCAAGCCTGCAGTGATGCAGAATAACTGAATGTATTTAAGAGAAGTCTTTTCCCTCTGGTGAAGGGACATTCCCAAAAAAACCATTCTCTTAACATCTAATAAATCTATTTAAAAAGTTAACCCCAAAAATTCGTAATCGTTTGACCTACCTAATTTCTTTAAAATAAACGTCCCTATGACACTCGTTTATCTGAATTCCTGATATTCTTGATAGAATATCTGGAATTTTTGTAACAATAGCATACTTCAAAAAACCAGAGACTTGAAACCACTTAGCAATATGTGAAATCTACAAGCATTTTTGGAAAAGACTTAAAAACAAGGTAATTAAAAAAATTAAAGAACTAAAAAACTAAGAAAAAGCTGAAAAGAAGTCTTTGAAAGCAGACACACATATACAAAACCTTAAGAAGAAATTCTTCAGAAAAGAGAAAAGAACAAAAATAGAAAAAAAAAAAAACTTATTCAAGAAATTATGTTTGAGTACAAAAAAAAAAAAATAAAAAAACAAGACTTAATCTAAAAAGAATGCTTAAAAGTTTTTATAAGAATTTCTATGAAAGAATTGGAAGTTTTAGTATGAAGTTATTACAGAATAAGAGAAAAGCTAAAATATTACTTGGAAAGACAAAAGGAAAGAGAAGCAAATCTTGAAAGATTAGAGATAAAAGAAGAAAAAAAGTGTCTGAAGAGCTATGTAATAAAAAATAAAAAAGCTAGAAGATAAACAGGATATTCAAAAAGAAACATATATAAAGAAAACTCAAAGAATTTACAATAAAACAAAAACTTATATTAAAAAGTTCATTAAAGAAGCCTTCAGACCTTTTTGGACATTTTTGATAAGACCAAGTAAAAATATAGTTAGACCTCTCTAAGTACACACCCTTGGGTTCACACTTTAATAATGTGCATATAGAGAATAATAAGCAAATATGCATTTATGGAGGTCAAGTATATATTTGGGCCAGCACTTGAGCATGCATTTAGATATTATAGAGAGTGCACTTAGAGAGATCTGACTATATGTATAAAAGCAATCTTGACAAGCTAGCAACAGGCTTTTGTTGATTTCGCAGATAAGCTCTAGTAAGTTAGGGCCTTGTGAAGGAGAGAACATGTTGTTGAAGCAAATTGTATTTAGGTACCTATAATAACCAAGTAAGTCTTTATTGTGTAAGGGATGGTAGATACATTTGCCAATTTTTACCCACCTTTTCTATTATTTCAGTTGGCTTTACTATGTAAACAACATGTGACAATCCTTTTTAAATTGATATTTTTTATATTTTCTAACAAAGGTTTCTCAATGACCATGTGATTAGGTCTAAATTTTTTTTATTTTAATTCTAGTGCTTCAATCCTAATTTTTTAGAATTCTCTTTGGTGTATCCAGATAACAATCCAAATTGAGATAAATTCAAATTCAATTATTAAATCCGGATTCTATGGTTTACATATTTTATTAGATTACCTAAGACTACTTTATGTGTAAGTGATGCCAAATAACCTTTATCTAATAGAAGTTACTTTTAATTGCATAATTAGAAATTAAATTCTGTAAGGTTAAAATGATTAAACGCATAAGAGCTCACAGGTTTTCGTTTGGCATCCTGTATTAACGCATTGTATATTTACTAAGTAATTTTTTTTAATAATAATTAGATTATTTAGTTTTAGCAGATGAATATAACTATTTTTTATTAATCCGAGTAATTAATATAAAAAACTAAATCTATTCTTCTAAATACCTTTTTCGTTCGCGTTTATTGCTAGCATAAGCCCATAATTTTTTATTATAAACGAGTGATCATTATTTATTGATCGATTAATAAAATATAAAGCCACGAATGCATAATGCGATGCAATAATTTTCCTTTCATTAAATTACATAATACTCAATATTTACGTCTCTCTCAATCCAGCGTATTTATCATCGAAGCCTATCAGTTGTGACCAATCACATAAAAGATTTCTAGGATCATATAATCCATTATAAATTAGGATCCATCCGAATATCCGTATTTAATCCGAATTATCGAATCCATCCGAATTGATCGGATTACAGTTCGAAACACTATTTAATTCTACGTACAAGCTTGTAGAATTGAAATAAAAAAAGTTTCATTGAGTTTGACCTAAGAAATATCAAAATTTATGATATCTGAAATGCGGTTACGATTATAGTTTTTAATATTTAAATAAAATTTTCTCGATAACTACTGAACAAAACCCGGTGTAATTTTTTTATATTAACTCTGAGAGTTTATAAAAAATTTGATTGAATTTGAATAGCTGGTTGTTAAGAAATATTCGGTAGAATGTTAAAAAACTTGACCGCAGCTTCTTTTTTAAAGACATCTAATCTAAGCTTTGAACAAGATTACTCGACACATACTTGATCAAATTCGATCAAAATTTTTTTATTTCAATTCTATAATCTCAGAAAATTAAAATAAAATAAATAAATAAAAATTTGATCGAATTTGATCGGGTGCTTGCCAAGTACTCTTCATTCAAAATTTAAATGTCTTTAAAAAAAAGCTGCAACCAAATTTTTTTTTTAAAATTTTAACGAATCACCAGCTATCCAAATTCAATTAATTTAATTTATTTTATTTTAATTCTATAAATTCACAGAATTAAACAAAATTTTTTTTTTTTTACAAATTCAGATGGTTGGTTGTCAAAAAATTTTTTTTTTTTAAAAAAATTTTAAAAAGATTTTTTATTTAAACTTTAAACGAAGATTTCTCAATAACTACTAAACCATAGATTTTTTATTTTAATTCGAGAGAGTACATAGAATTAAAATAAAAAAAAATTATGATCAAATTGGTTGTCGAGAAATATTCGTAAAAATTTAAAAAATATTTGACCGCAGTTTTCTTTTTTAAAAGGTATCCAATTTTTTTTATTTTAATTCTGAGATTATAGGGTTGAAATAAAAAATTTTGATCGAATTTGATTAGGGATGTGTCGAGTAATATTCGTTCAAAGATTTTGATATTTTTTTAAAACTTTAAATGGTTGTCTAATAACTACCAAGTCAACTCAATGAAACTTTTTTATTTCAATTCTACAAGCTTGTAAAATTGAAATAAAAAAAATTTATTAAGCTTAATCACATAGCTATTGAGAAACTTTTATACTGTACATACAACAAACATGACTATGAAATACACTATATGGGATCCCGTCTTGGTGCCCACGAACTTAAACCCATTTTACTTTCCTTTTTTTTTTCTACTTTTGACATCCGAACTGTTCGGTCGGGCTATCAAACCATTTATCTTCGATATCCGGGTTGTCCACCCGAGCTATCGACCACATCTATAACTTTACCTAAAACTCTCATCTAGTGGTGGGTGGGCGAGCACTAACGACAAAGCTAGACTTGCGTTGAGCTAGCAGCAAAAGAGAACAATTTCCCTCTAAAATAGTCATTCACTATGACCTCACACTTACTCAATTTCTCACCCAATACATCATCCTTACAAATCGCTCATACTTACAAATACATCATACTTACCAATTGCTAACCTACGTCATGGGTCTGGATCACGGTTTCGTGACAAATGGATGCCGTTCACGACATCTCATATCAAAAGGATCGACATGTTGTTTACATAGTACAGCCAAGAAAAGGCGGGTGAAAATTAGCAGTTCGACGATCTTTTAGATCATTCGTTTTTTAGAAACTGTAATCGTAGAATTGTCTAGATTACTTTCTCCGGAGTTATGCGTAATACAATTTGCATAAATACTTGATTTCGATCATATTTATAACAGTAAAATGGCGTCTGAGAGAATCCATTCGCTTTCTTCGCAATATCTACAACTAACAACCAAAATAGCAGAAATTGAGTGGGTCGACTCACAATTACTCGAACAAACCAATTATCTACAAGATTTGCAAGTAAAAGTTGCGGTTAAACGTAGTGAACTAGATAAACTTCGTGAGAAAACGTATTCATTTTATTTTTTTTATTCCTTCTGAATTCGTCATACTTTTCAGTCTTTAAAAAAAAACATTATAATAATAGAAAGAAAGAATTCCAAGAGGTACAAAATTTAAAACACTTCACTGTGAAGCGATTGGCTGCACAATTAACAAATCGATTGGAAAAGAAACTTAAAAAAGAAGAAACTGATTATTTAGCTGCATTTGAAAAAGAACAAAATGAGAAAACAACTTTGGAAATGTTGGAGAATGAGTTACGAGAAGCTACTCAATTGGTATTTCATTTGAACATTCATATTTTTAAAAATAATATTTGAATGTTATTAAAATTTCAAATTCTATTATTTTTTAGAATCAAATATTGACGTCGCAGAAGAAAGAATTGGTCTCTTTGAAAGATCAATTGAATAATCTAGTTGACTCTGTAAATATATGCTGATTTATTATTTTCTATATATACTTTGTAGAATTAACTTTTATTTTAAATTTAGGCATTCACTGAATTAATGCCTGGTAACGTATTTTATTAAATCGCATTCTTGTAATTTATTTGAAATCATAGTTTTAACTCTATTATTTTTTTTTAGAAGGTCCTTTAGAAATCGAAGTTGGTACACTTTATGCTCAGTTTAATCAGGTATCCTGAATAAAAAAAATTTAAAAATTGAGCGTTAGTAAAAAAATAAAAAAAAAAAAAGAATTAAAATATTTGTTAAAATAGGTTGCGGTAGATGTAAATCGCTATCAGTCAGCCGAAAAACACATAGGAAATGCGCGAATTACGCTTTCTCAAGCAATAAAAAGTTTACGTCAAGCTCATCAATATAATTCATTGGATATGTATTCTCATAACAGGATTGCAGATTTCTTTGAACGAGGAAGTTTGGCTGGTAATTCTTTACTTAATAATTTTTTCATTTTTTTTTTTTCATTTTTTAATAATTTGATTCAATTTTAAAAAAGATGCGCGTAAATATTCAATGCAAGCCCAAGTTCAAATAGATCAAGCAAGACAATTTGTACCCGAAATACGTTATATGAATGTGACTCAAGGAAATTTCGTATTTGGTGTTTTATTTGATAATTTTTTTGTGGATTATTATATAAGATGTAAGTTTCCTAAAAATTCACTTCGTCATATGATTTATATTTTATTAATTTATTTACCTTTATTATTATTACTATTAAAACAGCAAAAATTGAATCTTCATTAAGATCTCTGTTAAGCCATTTAACACAACTAGACAGTGTATACCAATGGCTTCAAAATAACATATCAAATCTTGGAAACATTTATACGCAGATGCAAAGCACTTACATTTCAAAACGTCAAGAGCTGTCGAAAGAACGAATTAAAATGTTTGAAAGAGTTTTGAATCCTAATAATACTACATCATCAATACCTAATGCTAGCGACATACCAATTGTAAGTAGTAGTAATTATGAGGAGGATGACGAATTGCCCAGTTATGATGAAGCATTAAGACAACCTACTTTTATGTAATTCATTCTACATAAAAGGATAAAAATAAGTTGACACTCATTTTTATCATATGTTAATCAATAATACAATAATTTCATTACCATCAGCAAATATAAAAGAATGTGTGTCAATTATTATTAGATATAACAATAGGCACAATATTTCATAGCTGCTAAGAAATTTTTTGAAATGGCAAAAGTGCTAAGTGAAATTTTCGTAGTCATGATCAAAAATTTCACGATTCGGCGGGATTGGATCAGAAAATTTTTGGTCTGCCTTCAAAAAGAATTATTTGTATTTATAAATTTAGTATACAACACATATATATAAATTAGCACATGTATTTATATCGCAATTCATATAATTAAATTATTTTTATACAAAACAAACCACTTTTACATAATATTTTTCCTTTTCATTATTGATGAATCTAATAAATAAATATTTACGTATATTTGCCTTTTGCCGCCTTTTAACGATACCTTTTTCTTTTCAGAGTCTATTGAAAGATAATGCGACTAAGAAAATTTTAAAAGTTCTATCCTGTAAGCGTATTTTTGTCCGGAGCGTGAGTGAGGACTTATAAAAAGTGTCAAAAAAAGTAATTAATAAAGATACAATAGATTCATTATCTGGCGTAGAATCATATTCCAACCAAATTAGGGCCTCAAAAAACCCTTGCTGGAATCGAACCAGCGAATCAAAGTCTTAAAACCAAAAACCCAATCAACTTAGGACCTTAAAAAAAATAAGTTTTTACATGTCGCCAGATAGCGCCAAAACCTCGGATAGTTTTTACATGACGCCAGAATCCAACTATAGCGCCAAAACCTTAAAACCTTGGAAATAAGGAACGGAACTACTGTATACCCCGTTGAGGAACTCGGGAATAGAACGGTACGAAACTTAAGAAGGATGTCATACCCACACTCGTGTCTCATTTAGGTATAAGAGACCAAGAACCTCCTGAAGCATAGGCCACGTAAAGAACCCTGTCGAGCAGGATCAAAAGCCCACAAACGGGGCTGGATCGTTATTCGTGTTAATTTTAATATCACGAATTTTAGTATTAAATTTACATTAAGTGATGATTCGAGTAGCCGGCACTAGCATCATAATAAAAGTTGGGGCAAATTTAATATAAATTTTATAATAGAGCTCAATCTGGCGCTGCTACAAAGAAAAGTTGTTTTTTTTCACTAAGTTAGCTTTTCTTTGACTTCTAATTAAATTCTAATTAAAGTTGTAGAGCTCATTTTTGTGATTCTAATGGTAGTAAGATCGGTAAAATTGGCCTTCTAATTATTGAGATATCTTAACTTTACTCTTAAAGATCATATAAAATTTCTTTACAAAATTATAAAGAAATTTTATATAATCTTTAAGAGAAAAGTTGAGCTCTATTATAAAATTTATATCAAATTTGCCTCAACTTTTACTATAATACTAGTGCCGCAAATCATCACTTAATTAAATTTTGTCAGCAACTTCAATAGATTTTCTGATAGGTGTTCAGGTAAGTAAAAATAGACCCATTTCCTTGTAAATAATTTCCAATCTTTTGCAAAACTTTTTACCGCAACAAGGAGCATCTAACTTTTCCTTCAGAATCAGTAGACTTGTGCGGGAGAAAAACTCAGTTTTGCAAAAATCACGAATACTAAATACCCGAAAATGTGCCCGATGCTATTCTTCTTCTAGGTTAATTCAAGTCCTAAACCAAGACACCACCAGATATACATTATCTTATTCTGCAGGCAGGCATCAAACGGAGTCCTAAAAAAATATATTTTGATTTATTTTTAATTTATTTTTCAAACTCGAATTTCAAAACAATAAAATATTAATGATATGCTTACAATATTTAACAAGAAAATGTTTAGTGAAGATTCAGGTGTAAAGAGAAAAAAAAACAATAAACAATATTAGCGATAATGTTCATTAAAGACAAAACTCAAATGAAATAATAATCTTCAAGAAACAAATATTTATACGTAAATCTACGCGTAAACACCAAAGTTATCATATCTGATAGACAAGCATAATCACGCGATATTGTTTATCATGGTATATATATAAGGCGGCATCCATAATTTACGTTAAACTAATACTGTATTGTATAGAAATCGATAATACCATCTGGTATTATTTTTGCATTATCTTTAAGATTTCTATAACAATACCGTTTTAACGTAAATTATGGATGCCGCCTAATAGGTATAATACCAATAGTAAAATAGTTTAGCCAATTAAATCGCTTCCGAATGTTTCGCATATTAATAATGGCAGTTATAACACGTTATACGGTATTATACAGTATTATACCTGGTATTATACCACCATTTTCTATTATACCGGTATAATTGCAACCCTAATAATAGTCCGTAGTAAAAACAGTGAGTGTCCTTTGCTTCGCTCCGGGCAATAAGTGATAATACCTAAAATACTATTGCTAAATCAATAAGATCAACAAAAGGATTCTCGATCTCGTTTGATTATTTTTACTCCCATTTTATTATGCAATTGTTTTGACATATTTTATCTAAACATTAAATAAACATTAAAAAGATCATATAACCACAACCTCAATTATTGACGACTTTAGAGCTTCTTATTTATCAAAATATATATTGTATATATCTTTTTATAGGCTTCAGTTTGACAAGTTTGAATTCAAATACCAGTACATGCCATCATTGACTTAAGTAAGACTCGAATGGTGTACATAAAATTGATGAATTAAGTGACATAAAAAAAGAGTATCATAAACACAAAGAACAGACAACCTAATAAAAAAATTATTTAAATAACTAGGCTCCGGACCTCAACGGTTCCGTTTCCTAGTATATATTCAGATAATGCGAATTAGTGTTAGCTGCGTGTTAATTTTGCTACAGTGTGGACAACCTGGTTCCAACGAAATATATTATCCAAATTAGAATTTTAACTTTTATATATGAGTGCTGCCAAGAGAAAACCTGTCATTCAATCATATGTATCGGACACAATCTATTTAATTTATTAGAAAATATGTCCGGTACAAAATATAATTGAAAGCCTAATGATAGGTTTTCCTTTGACGGCACTCATATGTTAGTATTGTCAAACATAAAATTTTATTATAAAGTGACTAAATTATTAATTTAGCATATAAAGTGGCATATATTATATGTTAAATTTAAAAGTAGTTAAATCTAGTATATAAGGACAAATTTGCTTGCTTTATATTGGGTGGGTGAAAAGTTTCTACAGGTTTCAACTTTGCTAATTTGATTAGATTTTTATTGAAAGGTATATAAATGTACACAGTGGTGTTGATTTAAAGTAATCAGTTGAAGAGTGGGATAATTTTTTAAATTTAGGGTATTCTGGCAGCGTACACACCGATTGACTGTCTAATATCCAACAAGAATTAAATTCTACACACTTAAATTCTGTTTACCCACGAGTAGTGTTACGAATCAGAGCAAAAAATATAATCGATTAGTTAGTTGAAAATTTTTTAAAAATCGATTACAAATCGATTTTTAAAAAATTTTCAACTAATCGATTACATTTTTTGCTCTGATTCGTAACACTAACCACGAGGATTAAATTCCACCTACCATAGGATTAAATTTTTTGTTGTAAGATTTTTAAATATCGCAGTCTTACCAATAGTACAAAGGTCGCGCGCAAGCCACAAAATAAAAACACAAAGGCAAGTGTGTGGTAGTTTCTTGATTTTGATTGAATATGCGATTATCCTAATTCAAATTCAACATTGATCGAACAGTTATTAAATATATGGGCAGTGTTATGAGAAAAGGGCCAAATTGATAAAAAAATTTCCTTACAAAAGATCAATTATCTCGTAAACTATTGATCAGAATTGTATAATTTTGGTACCATTCGATTCCTCTCGATGAGACGAATCGGATGGTGCAAAAATCACGCAATTCTGATCAATAGTTTACGAAATAATTGATTTTTTGTAAAGAAATTTTTTTTATCAATTTGGGCCCTTTTCGCCCATATATTTGATATATTATATATAGAAAAAAAGTCTTTTTAAAATCAATGAAAACCTAACCAAATTCTTTTATTCTAATTCTAAGAAGCAATACTTAGATAAAAACTTTCCCTATGAGCAAAGAAAATCAATAACCAAATTACAACGGACCTGCACTATCAATATATTCATTAACTCTTTTAATTATGGAAATTTTATCTTGGTCAAAAAATAAATAAATAAAATAAAATAAAATAAAAAAAAGAAATCTTTAAACAAATACAAGCTATTCATGAATATGACTAATGTATTTAATTTTATTTTATTCGTGTAAAATTCAGTGAGTATAAAGAACCTTTACTAATATAAGAATTTAAAATAAGCTATTCAAGTTCTTAAATAGTTTCATTTTTTAATTATTTTGTTCACATCAATTTATTCGCTAGATATAAAGAACATTTAGTAATCTAAATATTTAAAATTAGTTATTCTAGTTCATGAATATTTAGTATTTAATTTCATTTTATTTAGAAAGTTATTATAAAGAATATTTATTAATCAAAGTATTTAAAATAAGTTATTCAAGTTCATGAAATGTTTACTATTTAATTTCATTTCATTAATGTCAACTTATTCGGTGAGTGTAAAGAATATTTATCAGTTAAAATAATTTATTGCGGTTTGCAAAAAAATGTGAAATTTGCAGATTAAAAAAAAAAAGAGATCGATGATTTCTGATTTCTGATTGCCGATTTCTTTATTACTTCTGATGACGTATGTATATGAGTGCTGCCAAGGGAACACCCCTCATCGGGCTTTCAATTATATTTTGTACCGGACATTTCTTAGAGAATATGTCCGGTACAAAATATAATTGAAAGCCCGATTAGGGGTTTTCCCTTGGCGGCACTCATATA